GCCTTCTCAACACTTTACTCTAAGTCTCTAACTTTCATAACTCAATTTACGAATTAATTCACCCACAGACTGCGTTCTATAAAATATAATATAATTTTAAATCAGAATTACCAACGCTCTAATCAAGGTGAAATTTTATTACAACTCCCAACTCAATTCTAAGAGAAACTGTGAGGGGCTAATCTTGCTGCCCATATTTAATCGGACTTACTCCACTTCATAAGAATACTTCAATATTTACGGCCAGGGATTGAAATGATAAAGTGATTATGGTAAAAGAGGCTTGTAATGTTCACTAAAATATAGGTATTTTATTTTATTGATATAGAATTATTATATCACAACATTTTATGTATTGAAATACGGTATGTAATATGTGATGTTTAGATTGAATTATTATGGCACAAACGCTCATTATTTTTCGCAGATGACAGAGAAGTGCTTGGTCTCGCAGTGCTGCTGCGGTTGTTCGCTCTGCTCGGGAGCCTTCGGAACTGGCACCTTTCGCTTGGTAAGTGGTAGCAATTACCTGCAATTCAATTTTCGACCTCACATTTTGCAGTTCAACAAATTTATTTCTAAAGTTGGGCAATGAAATAATTGGCACGTTTATCCGCAATTTCAATCAAGAAAACAACATCAGTTAGCACAGATTTTCCTCAACCAAACCTTTGTTCTTATACAACCTAAATACTACAGAAGGCAAGACGCCGTAATTTTAAATCTAAATTGGGATTTGCTCTTTGAGTTACATGCGATTCGATTTTTATTTCGCGCTATTTTCAACGAAAGATTTCGACAGCCTTACTTTCTTTACACTTGGTCGCATTAGGAATAACCGTCATATGGTGTCAAATAATTCCTGAAATTTGCGTATATATGCAACAAGGTGGAGGTGAAATTGGATTAAAACTCCTAATTATAAGAGAAGCTGTGGGGGCTAATCTTGCCGCCCATACTTAATCCTGTCTTACTCCACTTCTGAAGCAAATATTAACGTCCAGAGATTGAAATGATGAAGTGATTGTGGTAAAAGATTTATTTATTGTAGTAAAAGCTCACAACATTGGCATACGCAATTAGGATTTGAATGAGACATGTAAATAAAAGAATAGGCGAGATAAAATGGTTGGCTAAAATCAACAGTTAACTTATCTGGATCCAAGCAGTTAATGGAGCCAGTTAATTCAATAAAACAGGCTTTTTGGTCCTATATCATTTAATTAAAAATACTATAAAACTAATTAATGAACATTTTACATCGCGAAGATGTCATGCAGGTCTTCAGTGATTCGCATGCACAAAGGAAACGTGCGTTGTCTGCACGATCAACCAAAAGGCGGGTAGGAGTTTAGTTTTAGTCTAAACTAAACTTGTGCCAAGGCAGGCACGAGTTTACTTTTAGTTCCGTGTTCTGTTCATGTTCTTTGTGTGCAGTAATGCCAGGACACAAGACCTTGTATTACGGTATGTGTAATGTACAAAATTTTCCGGGGCTTCTCTTAAGAATCTTTGTATAATCTACAAGTCTTAGAAGTCTGCTTGCAGGTGGTGGTCAAGGCCGGAAGAGGACAAAGCCGAGTGGTGCACGGCTGATTGGTGGATATCCGGAGAGATCCAAGGCGTTCGATTCAGGGCTCTTTGGTGCACAAAATTGGTGGTGCACGGCTGCGCTCCCGTACCTAGCCACTCATTCAATTATTTCCATAGTCTTTGCGGAGGCGCGGACAGCTTTTTTCTTCTTCTTCGCATCCGTTTTATGAGGACTCGGTTGTTCACCACCCGCCTCTCGTCTGGTTGGTCAGCGACGGCCAAACTGGAGCGACTTGTGGACAAAAAGCCAGATTAGACTTTGAAAACTAAAAGGTTGGTTTGTTAGTTCAACAAGCTACTTCAGCACTAGTTTAGTAAATGGAGCAAATTTGGTCACCTTTACCTATCGGGAGAGCCTACCCAGACAAATAACAAGGGCCAGATGGTCCAGCCTGAAGAATCATCTAAAGTCCATCCGGGGGGCACACTTTAGATGAGAAAAAAAATGCAGCTGATGCTGCATCTGCAACGTTACTTAGCTACTACCATCAGGATCGTACTTCAAAGGGGGATCACTGTCTGAGCAATTTTTTTAGGACTCTTAGGAGGATCCTGTACATATGCACATTTACAATAAAATATATGGGATAGAATCCTTCCAGGAGCATGGCGCTTGAAATGGTATCAAAGGGATGGTTGAGGACCTCTAAGTTAGTGTTTAGGCAAAGTCTACAGATTTCTCAGGTGCCCTGTTCTGAGAAGGTACTTAAAGAAGGCTTCGACTCCGCGGACAGCTCGTTTTTGTCTCAAGCCGGGCACGTATAAACGTCTGTTTCTCAACTCAAACTAATTGAACCAGAACGGAAAGAAAATATTACAATGGATATAAAATGCACATCTCGCGTTCTCTATGATGAACATGAATCAAGGCTTTGCTTTGTAATTACATATGCTAGGTTTACATAGGTTTATACATAGGTTTATGCCAGATTATGTTGAAAATATGTCATCAAAAAATAAAGAATCTATCGAAAAATCAACTTGACATTATCAATCACGTATAATAAATTATCGGTAAAAAATTAATGAACCATAAAAAGTTATAATCAAGGCACAAGCAGTTTCATTTAATTCATTTGGTTGCACTTTATAGTCCGAATTAAATTATAGTGAGAATCCAATTTATTAACATGACTGAGTAAAATGGGTAGCAATTTTATTATAAACAAACGACCATCTTTTACTGACGGCAGTACCCGAGGTCTCTTTCACTGTCCGCAGTAAACACAGTCTCGAATCGGTGTCTCTTCCACTGATAGCAGTTAACACGGCCTCTTCCACTGTCGGCAGTGAACGCGGTCTCAGTCAGAGGCGGCAGTACTTATTTGGTTAAGATGAGGCGCGTCACCGACTGAAGTATTGGCGCCCACAGGCGGCAGTAAACGATGTCACATTCACTGTCAGCAGTGAACGCGGTGGATTCTTCCAATGGCAAGAGGGAACACTATTTTCTTACTTCACAAAATTAAGCCTTGTACCAATCAGACGTAATAATGAACAGATAGAAACCAGTGTTTTGGAACTTAATAAATGAGTGGATTAATATACGAGCGTGGATACGAGGATAAAAATAGTATGGCAACTTGGCAAGCCATCCGCTGCCTCACCCCTATGGGCCTATGACGTCATTAGTATGCTAGAGCGGTGCATTGAGTGAGGCGTGCGGTGCAGTGCGCTCACGTTCGACTTCAGTATTACCATTTGTTTCTACACGAAAACAACCAATACGAGGTGAGCTGTAGACGAATATCATACGTATATCTTAAAAGCAATAAATTGTCCAAGGAAGAAAAATCATCTAAAATTCAAATTGGGATTCGCTCTTCGAGTTTCATGCGATTCGATGTTTATTTCGCTCTATTTTCAACGGAAGTTTCCTTGTGTTCTTTGCATCTGGTCGCATTAAGAATAACCGCCGTATAGTGTCAAATAATTCCTGAAATGTGCGTATATATGCAACAAGGTGGAGGTGAAACAGGATTAAAACTCTTAATTCAAAGAGAAGCTGTGGGGGCTAATCTTGCCGTCCACATTTAATTCGTATTGCTCAGCCTCAGAAACATATGTATATATACGGCTTGAGATAGAAATGAAAAAAGTAATTATAATTATGGTATAAGATTTACTATAAAGAAGCTCACGACTTTGGCATCCGCCATTAGGATTTGAATGAGACAAATGTAAGTACAAGAATAGGCGAGATGTATATGGTTAACTAAAATAAATAGTGAATTTATCTGGATCCCAGCAATTAATGGAGCCAGTTGATTAAACAAAGCAAGCTTTTTGGTCCTTTATCATTGATTAAAAATGATTAATAACTAATTAATGAACAGACATAAAGAAAGATATCACGTAAGCCCTTGGTGAATCGCATGCACAAAAGAAACATGCGTTGTCTGAAAGATCAACCACTTGAATTATTATGGCACAAACGCTTCTTCTCTTTGGCAGATGACAGAGAAGTGCTTGGTCTCGGAGGGCTGCTGCGGTTGTTCGCTGCGCTCGGGAGCCTTGGCAACTGGCATCTTCTACTTGGTAAGAAGTGTCAATTACCTGCAATTCACTTTTCTACCTCACGTTTTACTGTTCAGCAAATCTATTTTTAAAGTTGGCGATGAAATTATTGGCACATTTATCCACAATTTCACTCGTAAAAACAACAGTAGTTCGCATATATTTTCCCTAACTAAACCTTTGTCTTATATGACAAAATTAAGTTAAGTAAAGTTAGTCTTAAAACAAACAAAAGAACAAAGTCTTAACAAAGTTAAGACTCTTCATTTAATATATTTTTTCAATATTCTGATTCAGCTTATTTCAGATTAAAGATGACCAAATATGTAACTAATTTCTGAGATCTACAGTAAAAAATCATCAACTCAGTGGTCTTACAATACAGGGTTATTCTAAGTGATGGGCCCAATTTAATTAATTCGTACTCATTCAAGTATTCATTAAAATGAATATTCATCCACCAATGGAAAGGGAATAAAGCAAAGTTTTTTCTATCTTTACCAGCAACTTTGTTTACGTCCCGCCTCTACCAGCAACTCTGTTTGATGTGAAGAACCGTATCACTGCTACGGTACACTCTTTAGCAAGATATGCTTTCTCGTGTGACACGAATTTGGATACCGTTTACAGGTTTGCCGTGCCGCACAAGGCGGACATATTGAAAATTCATAAATATTTTCAAAAAACTCTCCATCATTTAATTTCCATTGGTGTATAAATTATTCATTTTGAATCGATACCTAAACAAATAGAATAGAAGTGTCGGCACTGAAGAAATAAGCCCATGGCCTGGTGCCGATTCTTGTCTTCATGACTTGATTCACAAGGAATCCGGCTTTTGGAATCCGATCTTTCCAAACTGACAATTGATTGAGATAGCTGCTGGACTTATTGCCTGGTCCGTAAGTTGTCAGGCATTTCAAGACTGAACATTTGCTCCTCCTGCATAGCTTCGTCTAGTCTGTTCTTGAAGGCATTCATACTCGGAGCGTCAACGATGCTACAAGGAAGCTGTTCCACATGTCCCATGTGACTCGAAGCGAGAAGAAATGTTGTCGCGTGGACAAGTTGCAGCGCAGTTTTTTAGTTTGTAGCCGTGGCCCCTGGTGTTGGTTCTTGTTTCAAATTCTAGTAATCCTTCTGGGACCTTGTATAAACCGTGGTTATACTTGTATACTTCAATGAGGTTACCAAGCAGACGTCGATAACGGTGGCCTGGAAGCTTCATAATTTTTAATCTTTCTTCATACGGCTTGCGTTTTAATCCCGGAATTATCCTTGTTGCACGTCTTTGAACACTCTCGACTAAATTTTTGTCCTTTTCTAGTTTTGGTGACCACACTGCGTTTCCGAACTCTAGGTTCGGGCGCACGACAGCGACATACAACTGCTTCATCGCTTCTGCATCTAGGAACTCGAAAGAGCGTCTGATCAGTCCAAGTCGTTGATTGGAATTATTAACTTGAGCTTCAATATGATTAGAAAATTCAACTCATTGTCGACATCGACATCATCACTCTGTCGTTGCAACCATGTCGTCTCAAGTTCTCATACTGTAATCTTGCTGTCCATTAATCTTGCCAAGGTGAATTACTTTGCATTTGTCAGCATTAAAACGCAGCTGCCACTTATCAGCCCAGTTAACAAAACTGTCAAGATCACCTAGCAACTGTACTTTTTGCGACGTATTCCGCATTGTATTATAAACTTTTTATCGTCAGCATACATCTAGCACACGCTAGACACAGCTTCGGGTAGATCGTTTATAAACGCAACGAATAAAACAGGTCCGAAAACGCTTCCTTGTGGCACGCCGCTAAACACTGACGCCCAGTCCGATACGGTCCCATTAATACTGATACGTTGTCGTCTCCCTACTAGAAAATCTCTGATCCACTTGAATACATTACTCTCAATTCCCGAAGACTTCAATTTACGCAAGAGCCGCTCGTGTGGGACACTGTCAAATGCCTTGGCAAAATCGAGGCACACTGCATCTACTGGCTCCCTTTCGTCCAGCATGCGGGTCCATTCGTTCAGAGTAGACAAGAGGTTAGTGGTGCAGGATCTCCCGGCAATAAAGCCATGTTGACAATCTGATAGGAGATTATTAACTGTCAAATGATCGATCAATCGATCCCTCACAACAGATTTCATTACCTTGCAAACGACTCTTGTCAAACTGACAGGGCGACAGTTGCCCGGGCAGCTTTTGTCACCTTTTTTGAACAATGGTGTCACTTGAGCTTCTTTCCAGTCAGCCTGCAAGATCCCTACGTTCAAAGTTCTTCGAAAAAATGACGTCAGAGGGCCGGCTAGGACGGTTGCTAACTCTTTGAGTAATCTGGGATGGAAGCCGTCCGGACCACATTGCCGTGGGGTGGAAGCCGTCCGGTCCACATTGGAGTGGAAGCTGTCCAATCTGATTTTATTAAATTAGGTTCAATATTTAGAATAACCCAGTACATTCAAGGCCTACCACTGCAAGAAATATTACATTCGGGACTGTATGTGTCATCTTAACATTCTCAACGGTTTGTGTGCACAGGTGGTAAACCTCCTTACTCTACTCTACTCCATCTTGGTCATGCTCGCTTCACGTGAGTAAATGAAATAATTATTCAATTATCTGTATACGAGTCACGCACCTCTTACGTCTTTCTATTACGTCTTCTATCTATTTTCACGCACCGATTGATTCGATTTTCATTAGTAAAATTTTACAAAAAGCAAATCTACTCTCAAAATTAAAAAATTTCAAAATTGATATATACACAACACATGTGCACCCTGAATACTTATGTAAAAAAACTCAGTAGAGCTTGTAAATAAACTTTTAAAACACCGACTGCAGATCGATATCTTGAACCCTTCAAAATATTTACTTCCTAATCAAGCATTCATTAGAAGCCTATGTAGTTCAACGCGTTGGATATTTGTGAAATATAATGAACAATCAGCTTGAGTCAGCATTTCCAGAGTTTGATTTTCCAGGAGATTTGAAAATCCCGTAAGGACTCGTAGGATACTCTCATTTTACATATCATTTATCTTTCGTTTAAAAGTTCGGAGGATTATTGATTTTCTCACAAAATTGAAAATTACAAAATTTTAACTAAAAATTCGAGTTTCCAATCCAGTGTGCGGGCTACGTGCCCGACCACTTTCAATAATTATTTGACTCCTATCAGTGGAAATTGAGGCCAAGGCAACTTGTAATATTCACTAAAATTAGATGGAAACTTTAGGTGCGGCAAGATAAAATTGGTCGGCTCAAAATAAACACAACAACAAATGATGATATGAATTTTTTTTGTTAAGCTCACGTGGCTTGCTTGAAGGTGATGATCCCGATGGAATTTGAAGATGAGGCCGGTGGTGGAGACGACGCTTGGCTTGGCGAGATCTCGAGGCTGCGTGAAGAACCTTGTAGTGAGTGCTGCGTGGTGTTGACGGCGTCACGTATAGAGATCAGCTGAGGTTACTGGAGATACGTGGAAACGTAGACACGTGGAGATGTGTACACGTGGGGATATGGACCGTGGAGAAAGTCACTGAATGTGCATGGAGAAAAAGTCACTAAATGCACGTGGAGAAAGTTGTTCAGCCGACAGGGATGATGTCGTTATGCAGACAGGGACGGCGTCGGTACGCAGGCAGAGACGCAGACAGAGACGGCGTCAGTACGCAGACAGAGACGACGTCGGTACGCTGACAGAGACGGCGTCACTACGCAGACAGAGACGCGGATGGAGACGGGAGTTAGCACGTTGCAGAGTTTGGTGATGGCTCGTTCGCCGATTGGGGGTCACTGCGAAATAGACTAATACACTAATAATACACTATTCACGATACCATTTGATTAGTACGCAGTTATCACGTGAGCTTATACGGCATGACAACATTAATTACTCAAAAACTTGCAATGTCTCTGAACTAACTTTACACTTGCACTTAACACAACTGAATACAAGAGCTATTCTAAGGCAGGGTTTCTAAGTTAGAGAACTTACGAGAGATGCTGGCAGCGCGATGTCAGAGAGAGAGAGAGAGAAATGGACGCTAGAATACGAGGAGACCATAGAGCTAGTGAGAGAGGCGTAGGATGTTGCCAAACGGCGGAAATGAGATTTCTCTGGACTATTCTTATGATATGCAAATTATTAATACGATAAACATAATGTTATGGGTATTAATATTAACATGAGAAACATAAAATTAGTTCTATGTAGCGAGATCCGCTACACTAGCTCCCGTCCTGTAATACTCATGATTACACAAAAAAACGGATATACAGGGTGTACCAGAATTAACTGACCCTTTTAATTTGTTAATAAATAAAAAACTAAGAATGTTATGAAGTAGAAACTTGTTTTATTTAAAAGAAGAACATTTTTATGGTAATATTGTATCATAGTTACGTCATTATCTTGTATAGCTTGCTAAATTTGTGTTTAATTATCAAGCCTTAAATTTTCATCATGATTCGCTACAGCAAAGAAGAAAGAACGAAAATTCTGTAAACCTACATCAGGACGATGTCAATAACAGAAGTTCAACGTGATTACAGGATCCATTTCAAAACAATAATTGTGGTGGGCATTTAAAAGGTATTATATTTAAAAACTAGGATACAATATTACCATAAAAATGTTCTTCTTTTAAATAAAACAAGTTTCAACTTCATAACGTTCTTAGTTTTTTATTTATTAACAAATTAAAAGGGTCAGTTAATTCTGGGACACCCTGTATATACCACCTTTGATCTGAAAAAAAAAAAAGAAATTTTAGATCCCAGTAAAATCCCGACACGATAGGTATTGTGAATAGTCGCTCAAATCCCTTTGAATTTAAATACTTTCAAACCCAACAAGAAATGAAAACTATTACAATAATAAAATGATATTTTTTATGGAATATTAGCCGTGATTGCACTTGTAATTTAAGTTTTTAATTACTCAACAGAGGAAGAAATTATTTGGTTCGACATCACAAGTAGCATCATCGGCATCCTGCTCTCCCTCACACTCATATTTGCTGTTGATACGGCAAGTACAATAACATTATACAACTATTTTCAGCTCAACAGGTGTTTTCGAGATGGATAATACCTGAGGCTTGAAAATCCATTTCTTGTACGGTAATCAAAATAGTTTCCAACTTGAAGTACATTCAATTTAAAAAAATTCAAAATCTGCTTTCACATCAGAATATTAATATAGTTTTTAAAAGTGAAGTAAATTGTAATCATTTATCAACGAATAAATTACGCAATAGTTTGTCCAGTGGCAGGCATAAGAAGAAAAAATTTTCACAGTATGCCACAGCCAGGACTAAAATTGCAATATGTTAAACAACTAAAATTCTGAGGACGGAACACATCGATGTATTTAAATAATTAAGACATGTTTGGACTTTTTCTCATTACGGTAAAACATTATTTCGTGATATTCGTACCTCATGACCACTGGTGACAAGAGTTACAATCTGTACACGGAGGGGTTAACAGAACGGTTATCGAAGGGGTTAACGGGACGGTTACCAATGGGATTAACGTGATAAACCAGTCAGAATCCTAAGCTTCAAAGTCCTACACTTAGAACATACCTCATTCTTTTGATTTGCAGAAACGAGTGAAGCTCATCAAGTTTTGGGTCTACGTGGAGATCGCATTGGTCATCATTGCAATAATCTGCTACGTGACGATAATTGTGCTTACCAAGCATTGGGTCGACCTCATTGCAGCTCTCATCGGGACGGCTACTACGTCGTACCTCATCGTCGTAGTGCGCTCCTACGCCGTACAGGTGAGTTTACATTTCATTGTCTACTGCCTTGCAGATGTCATGCAATTTCTATCCGATTTACACTCATCATTGATTTTGATAATTATTTTTTAACAAGTGAATGTATGAGAGATACTTTTAGAACGGAATGAATAAATAGGAGCATTCAAAGTACAAATCCGTGACGCACTTTCAATAAGCATCAAAATCCAAATTATTATTTTTTAGTATCTCACAATCGATTATTTTTTATATGACAGTTGGAATCCGGTGGCGGTGGTGGAGGAAACATCGTCTAAGGCGCTCGACTTCATTCCCTTCCGCAACCATCCTTTCTGTGTACGCCGAACATACGTAAAGAGGGAATTACGGCGACCACCAATGCTGGACTTCGATTATACGTCAAGAGGTAATTACGGCGACTATCAATGCTGGACATCGAACATGCGTCAAGAGGTAATTACGGCGACCACCAATGCTGGAGATCGAACAAATGACCAAGGGTGATTACGGCGACTATCAATGCTGGACATCGAACATATGACAAGAGGTTATTACGGCGACCACCAATGCTAGACATCGAAAATATGACAAGAGGTAATTACGGCGACCATCAAAGCTGGACATCGAACATATGGCGAGATAATAAAGGCGACCATAAAAGTTGGACATCGAACATATATGATGAGTAAAGTAATCCACCTTGGCAAGAATAATGAACAGCAAGATTACAGTATGAGAAGACACGGTTGCAACGACAGAGTGATGATGTCGAAGTCTACAATGGAAAAAAATTTAGGAGTTAATATCGACAATTAGTTGAAATTTTCTAAGCATATTGAAGGTAAAATTAATAAAGCCAATAAACGACTTGGACTGATCAGACGCTCTTTCGAGTTCCTAGATGCAAAAGCAACGAAGCTGTTGTTTGTTGCTGTCGTGCGCCTGAGCGTAGAGTTTGGAAAGTCGTGTGGTCACCGAAACTTGAAAAAGAGAAAAATTTAATGGAGAGTGTTCAAAGACGTGCAACAAGGATAATTCCGGGCTTGAAAGGCAAGTCATACGAGGAAACATTAAAGATTATGTTAAGCTTCCGAGACTCAGCTATCGACGTCTGCGTGGGGACCTCATTGAAGCATACAAGTATACTCATGGCTTAAACAAGGTTCCAGAAGGATTACTAGAATTTGAAACAAGAACCACCAGGGGCCACGGCTATAAACGAAAACACCAGAGGTCACGGCTATAAACTAAAAAACTGCGCTGTAACATATCCATGCGACATTTCTTCTCGCTTCGAGTCACCGACATGTGGAACAGCCTCCCTGACAGCATCGTTGACGCTCCGAGTATGAACGCCTTCAAGAACAGACTAGACGAAGCTATGCAGGAGCAAATGTTTAGTCTTAAAATGCCGTGCAACTTTCGGACCAGACAATAAGTCCAGCAGCTATCTCAATCAATCGTCAGTTATGGAAAGATCGCATTCCAAAGGCCGGATCTTCTGTGATTCAAGGCACGAAAAGTACAAGAATCGGCAAAAGCCATAGGCCTATATCTTCAGTGCCGACACTCCTATTCTATTCTATTCTATGTTGAGAGGTATTGAAGACGAACATCACTGCTGGCTATCGTACAAGCTTGACAGCATCAAAGGGGCACACACCGCGATACGGCAGAGAACAAACATTAACGAATTAAGACTATCAATTATTCAAAAGAACTTTGGGGCGAAGAAAATTCATGTTCAATTTTAATTTCTGAGCATCAATTACATAACTTTAATATATTGTTGAAAGTTTCCCGAGCACTGTGAAATGGCCGACTGAAACGGCTATATGTAAGCCACTTATATTTTACAATTCACTCTCATAGTCTCATTGTCTTTCCGGAAATCTTTGTTATCTATCATTCCTAACAATGATTTAGTCTGTTCATTGATATTTTTTTAGGGGGGAAGACTTCCTCACTGTTCAGAACAATAAACAGTCTGGCAACCAGTCTTGGAAGTGATCAAGAAACGAAAGGCTACAGGAATCGAACACGAATTTGAAACAAGAACCAACACCAAGGGCCACGGTTATAAACTAAAAAAAAACAGCGTTGGAACACATCCATGCAACAATATTTCTTCTCGCTTCGAGTCACCGACATGTGGAACAGCCTCCCCGAGAGCATCGTTGAAGCTCCGAGTATGAACATCTTCAAAAACAGACTAGACGAAGCTATGCAGGAGCATATGTTCAGTCTTAAAATGCCTAGCAAATTACGGTGGCAACAGGCCATGGGCCTATTTCTTCAACGCCGACACTTCTATTTTATTCTATTCTACCACCTCTCCTCACCAAGCTATCATCCCCTTTGTTATCCGCCACAATTGTAAACAACGTTCAGTGTTGTCCCCCTCACCCTCACAGCCGACGTGAGAAAGGGAGAGGACAAGGGACTTGCCAGTGATTAATTGGCACTGACAGTCGGACGAGTCTACGTTTGACTCGTGCTGTCCAATTTTGTTCAGAGACTGACTAAAGAGTAAATTTCATTGATGATTGCTGTACGTGCGTGCCTGTGTAACTAAAGTTCCTCACAATGAGTGTAGAACTTTAATCTAGTAACGTTAAAAAAGTAACTGTGATATTGCATACATTAAATCGAGATTAGTGATGGATGTTTGTTCATTGGATGTGACTATTTGTAATATATTAATCGTTTAGAATAGATGAGATTTGAGAACTATTATGACTTGGGAGACTACTGATGGCTGAGAGCATGGTTGATCAACTATAAGTTCAACCATGGCTGAGTGCTTCCTCTACCTGCAACCTTTAATTCCTAACATTCTACCAATAAAACATGGGGATGTTGTGGGTGTGCGTGGGGCTGGTGTCTGGGGGTGCGAAATTTCTGAAGTGCACTCACAAACGCTCGTACGATGTGTATACACGCAAACATGCGCACTAGGGTGGAGAGCTTTAGACCTTTAGGTTGATTTCTTCATGATTTGAGGGTCGTTGGAAATTTTCAAATACATGAAAAAATAGCATATACATGAAATTTTTCTCAAAAATCCAACAAGCATTTTTATGCGAGAACTTAATTCCGTCTTCAACACTTCAAAATTATTGGCACGTGAGAAAGCCAATAGGTAAAACAAAAATTAACAACAAAATAATAGCTTCCTAAGTTCCTAGTAATTATTAAACCATATACATTTTGTTGTTATAAGGCCGGTTAGATTGTTACACGATAGCTTACCGATGTTGACTAACAAATTTTATTCTAAAAAATCATAGTAAAGGAATACCATGTAAAATAAACTAAATTTCATCAACTCACAGATGAACTTTCTTTAGTAAAACTTGCAACATTGAAATGCAAACTTCATTTGAATGTTTAGTCTCAATTAGCAGTAAAGTAGGAGTTGCGTAAATAACGATAAAAATATTTTTGCAATGATACTGCGTACCATGATACCTCGTATCAATATGGTTTTAGCTCATGCTATTTGATTTAAAATTAAACATTTATTTTTGCCGTTTTATAATCATATACATCATCATTTTTGCAATCACAGTAATAATAATAATTTAAATCAGTAATTCAGTATGACAGTTAATCAGTGGGCCTAGTCTGATAATAATATTACAAATTATTAAGCGATTTTCATTGTATTGCTACGGGCTACCTTTGATCCATGAGAAACATTTTTACAGGAATAGAAGAATGACATGAAATTAACCACGTTTTTAACCATAATTTAGTGTATCATGTGCTTATTTCTATCAAAATTTCTGTATTCAATGTTTCTTATAACTTGAAAATGAATGTTGTCGCATTCGAAACGAAGTTAATCAATTAAAATTACTTCCTAAAACCAGCATTTTGATCAACCAACGTCTTCTAAAGAGTAAAATTATTGCTCGACTCTGAAAATTTAAATCAATGAATTCTATGGTTATTAACCACCCTAGTTTGAAGGAGCTAATTCTGTTATCTTTTACTAATTTTTAAATGTTTAAACTTGTCAAGTCTCTCATATGTCATATAGATCTGTACCTCAATTTTTTTGTCGGATTTTCATAGAGAAAATCAAAAAATTGTCACGACCTTAACATCACCTTTAGGTCCCATTGAACACGTGTGCTGAGTTTCATCGAGTTGCGTTCATTAGTGTGGGAGATATTTCATGTTCACTGAATTTTGGAGACCGGCCTCAAGTTTGGACGTAAATGCGTCCGAGAGGTGCACTAAACGCGGACTATTAACTGTTGGCAGTGAGCAGTCTTTTCCAGTAACCGCAGGAAACGAGGTCTCATTTACTGTCAGCAGTGAACGCGGTGGTCTCTTTCAATGGCGAAAGGAACATTACTTTTTTACTTCACAAAATTACACCTTATACCAATCAGTCGTACTAACGAAAGAAACCGGCTGTTAGGAAATTAATCAACGAGCTGATTGATATACGAACGCGGATACGAGGATAATATATGTATATACGCATGACAATTGACA